GTGTAACCGAGTATAATTAAATTTATAGTGACCGGTATTTTTTTCTTCTTTCGAACCAAAGTTGGTAGTGACATTCAATAGTGTTTCCCCCGTCTCATCCATATTAATGATTTTTATTAGTGTGACATTGTACTGGAATTCATTGAATTTCATTGGAACCATAAATGAATGAATATAAAATATTTATTCGAATATAGTAATAGTAAATGATTAAGAATTCTATTATAATTATAAAATGGCAAAATCTCGTGTATAAACAAAATACACATGACTACCTCTGTTTTCATTTTTTGATGTGTTTTTCCGCAATTTATTACACCAATAAAATTGATTTATGTTGTGTGACGTTACTGCAGCGATGAAATTTATTCCGATCAAAATAATTGTAAATCTAAATTTTTCAATAAATGTTTTTTATTAGTTCCTTGTCTCCCATCAATTTAATTCAAAAACATCAAATAAGCTCTTAATCGCGAAAAACGCATATCAATTAAATGGGTGAATTAAATGAACTAAACGTGTGATTACGATGATTTTATCTTCACATAAAGTATATTGGAAACAAATATTACGCATTGTAGAAATTAAACAAATAATATTCTACAATTATTTATTTGCAAATTGTATTTATAATACATGCATAATGTTGTTCTTAATAAGTTTTAAACAACCAATAATCAATAATAACAATAGGGTTATATTATAATCGCTTCTTATATAAAGAGATATCTTCTCCTCAGTTAAAAACACATATTTTTTAAGTCATTTAATGGTAATATTATTTATTAGATATATTATTATTATAAACGAATTTTTAATCAATTAATAATAATGGTAAAAAATATCAAAAACACCGTCACCGACACCAATAAGATCAACAAAAACAAAAACAAAAAAGCTAGAGGTCCGTACGTTTCAAGAGCATGCAATAACTGTAAAAAAACACATAGGAAATGTTCAGAAGGAAATGATAGCTGTAAAAATTGTTTGCGTAAAAAATGGGAATGTTCCAAAGATATTTTTATTGATCAATCAAATAACAGTGTCGTCAATAAAGGTAAAATTTAAGTCGATATGTTTTTTGAAAAAACAATTATGAAAATTTATTTTTTTCTTCTCTTCAATGAAAAAGAATAGGCGGAAAAAACTTATTTTAACCAAGTTTCCACTTTCAAATTTTGAATAATGGTGAAGGGGAGGTTACGCGTGTTATATAACGGTTACTGTAGAGTGTTCAAAGCTATGCCTTTTTTTTCTAATTTATGCTTTTATGCTTTTATGCGTTTATATGGTGTCCAGAATTATGTTTTTTTTCAAATTATGCATTTATGCGTTCTTAAAGCGTTTAAGTTATTATTTAAATTTTCCAAATTATGCTTTTATACTCATAATTTTTGGGCAAATTAAATTTTATGTATTTTAATTGATATAAATAATTTTAAAACTGTACGTTTATATAAAATTCAATAATAATAAGTAGAATATTAATCTTTAATACAATTGCCAAATAGCCTTTTCCAAATAATATAGTATTAATATTTAAGATCTAAACATACTAGGTTCATGATTTAAATTAACCTTTTAATTATTTGAAAATATTATTATATAATTTATTTTAAATTTTTTTCTTCGTCATCATTCAAATTCTATTATAATAACACAAAAAATGGTCTTAAAGTTTTAAGAGCGCTATTTTTCTATACACTCCAAATTCGATTTATTTTTTCTATATTGTATAAGAAAAGTAGTCCATTATTTTTTATTATCATAATATAAGCCAATAGAGACGATGTACAGTATATGGGATTTTTGTATATTCACACTATATAAGTGAAGTTTTTTGTCAAACCAAATTCTTTCTTACGGAAAATCAGGATTTTCTTGTAAAAATAATAAACAATGAAAAAAAAAAATGGTAAATAAATTAATAACAAAATAATAATCGGAGGGATCTGGAAAATCTTTTTTTGTACTATTACTACATAGTGCGGATCTCGGATTAAAGATGAATTTTGTAAATAAGAAAAAACAATAGAACCGATCAAGTAATAATAATAAAATTAAAGATCTGCACAAGCCGGTTCGCAAGGAGCATTAAATAAAATGATTAAAGTTCATGATTAACTTAAAGTGTTATGATTGCTCAAATTCTTATGAAATGATTTTCGCAAAAGTATTAATTCGGGCAATTTTAATAAAAAAAAAACTGTATTACAAATATATGAACTGTTAAATTTGTCACTTTTTTCCTATTTAACGAGCGGTCCCAAATCGTGGTTGTAAAATTATACATTTAAATATATAAAATAATTAGAATGTTTCCCAAAAAAAGAATCCTTTTTTTACAATATTATTAAATGTGATAAACTTATTTTCTCATTCACATTCATTCTTTTTTAAGAACTACCATGGTAGTTACCGACATTGTTTACATTCAGTAGTAACTGTTGCATATATTAGGCAGAGGAAATCTATTTATAAATTGTTAATATATATTATTTTATGATTTTAATAAGATGAATGACAGGTTAATAGACTATTACAGGTCAAAAAGTAACAAAACAGTTAAACTAAGAATTATTGAGGCGTGTAAAGTTAGTGGAATTTGGGATGTTGCAGACTTTCAAATCAGTTGCAGATACCAACTCTAGAGGCATGGTAACTTTTAAAAACAGAGACGCCCATTTTTCTGGTAACTTTATGATTATAATTTGAAATTATTATTTTTTGTGCGCTTTTATTTTTTCAAAGATCTGCATGAAAAACAAATCGGATTTAAATGTCGTATTTGGGAAATATATTTATAACACGAATTAAGTATTTGTATTCTAACTATTTGTTTATTCTTTAAATCCAATATTATTTTTTAAAAAGAAACCTATTTTTATTTGCGATCTGATATGTAACTTTCGAAACTTTATTATAAATCAAATATAAACGACAAGACCTTACAGCGACAATAATCACATGTATTTTTCGCATACAATATTCGACTTACGCCGATAAACTATAACAGGATACATTTTTGAGTAATTGATTCATATTGTATAACGCTATTAAATGTGGTGATGAAACCAGCAAAAGATATTCCGATCAATCTAGACTTTCCAATAAATGTTTTTTATTAGTTTATTCAAAAAAAACATTAAATAAACTCTTAAACCGCGAATAATATCTAAAAGCCTAGAAATAAACTTATAAAAAACACATATTGACGAAACGGATGAATTATATGCGCCATATATGTGAGTACGATGATTTCATATTTAGACATTTGTATAAGTCTTCGGAAAACTGTAACAAATATTATGCAATTAAGTTTATTTTGTACCTACAATAATGTACGTATAATATTTTGCTCCAGATGTTATATAATTCGCAATCTATAAAGTAGTAAGCTCTAACCAATCAATAATCAACACAATAATACGGTTGTAATATAATTGCTTATTATATAAAAGAGATCAATTCTTTTCTCTTTTTCTCTATAAAATCAGATATTTTTTCAAACCATTTAATAGAAATATTGTTATTGGTATCTTATTATTATTATATATAAAAAACGCATTTTTAATTATTTAATAATAATGGTAAAAAATAATATTGGTATTAGTAATAGTAGCAACACCGTCACCAACACCAACAAGATCAATAAAAATAAAAAAACTAGAGGCCAATACGTTTCAAGAGCATGCGACAACTGTAAAAAATCACATAGGAGATGTTCAGAAGGAAATGGAATCTGCAAAAATTGTTTGCATAGAAATTTGAAGTGTTCCAAAGATATTACTATTCTTCAATCAAATAACGATAATGGCAATAATAACGACAATGATTTCAATAAAGGTAAAATTTAAGCTGATGGTTTTTTTTAAAAAATAATTATAAAAATTTATTTTTCACTTCTCTTCAATGAAAAAAAAAATAGGCGAAAATATAATTCATCGGCTTATTTCAACCAATTTTATTCCAGTTCATCAATTTTATGCTATTGACAGTTATTATCAAACATATCATCAAATTATAAATAATAACGACTACTTTGTCAACAACCATTGTGATGATACCAACGACATCGCCACCACTGTCACCGCTACTAATATTACCAGTAGCTTTGGCAAGAAGAATTAGTGATATATAATTTTTAATTAATTCATCTAATTAATGGTTTTTTTTAATTTGTTCATTATATTTATATTTTAATATATTACACTTCAGAATTTTGAAGGAAGGAGATTACGCTGTAGAGTGTTCAGGGTTATACTTTTTTTTCAAGTTATGCATTTATGCATCCATAGAATGTCAAAATTATTCTATGCTTTCGTGCACTCATTGGGTGTCCAGGATTATGCTTATCCAAATTATGCAGAATAAATTAATAATATTATGTATAAATAAATTATTTTAAAAATATGCATTTATATAACAACTAAATAACCCTTCCTAAATATAAAAAAAAACACAATAATGATATTTAATATCTAAACATACTAGGTTCATTATTTAAATTAACCTTTAATTATTTGAAAAATATTTTAAAAAATGTATATAATTTACCTTGAATTTTTGTTTTAGGCATCTTTCAAATTCTATCATCATAGCATAAAAGGTGGTCTTGGCAAGGTTTGTAAATATTTAACTAAATAACCACCTGCAAAACTCTCAAGGCGAGTAGGCAAAGATTACAATCTCGGTTTCTGGTTTTATAGTTTTAAAAACGCTAATTTCCTACAAACATTGTATTGATACATTACTCCAAATTGTATTTTCTTTTTTCTATATTGTACGATAAAAGGAATTCTTTATTTTTTAGTGTCATAATATAATCAATAGGTTATTTTGAAGTTTTACCCAACGAACAAATATACAAACACATCCATACTAAGAATATACACTTGAATGTTTTTAACATTTGCATTCATGAAAACAATAATAGTGTGAAAAACGCTAGTTTTGGCAGATTTAGTATCAATATTAAAGTCCTTACGTTCAAAAATACTCTATGTTATAGATACACCTTTGCTCTTGACAGTAACCCTTAAATTCGTGGCTTCTGCAAGGTATACAAAAGGTAAAGGTGTTAGTAAATAAAAGCAATTACTATCATTTATCAAATCAAATAAACACCCAAGAGAGAAAAGTCGGAGAGAAATTTAATGCCAAGCACAACGTTTTTGTACTTGTCGTTTTCACCAACAATACAGAAACAAACGCTTTAACTTACGAACAAAAGTAAATAGAATGAAGGTGAAATTACGGGATAATGCATATAATATTGTCTGGATTTTTTTAAAAGATTTGTTAGCTTAAATGAGTTTTATGTTTGTTGTCTTCATTTAAAAACAATAATATAAATAATTATCAAATGATAAAATTTTTTATTAATATAGTTAGTACTATGGAAATTTAAGTTGTGGAAAACTTGCCCTATTGTTATTATAAAGAACTTTACACAAATAAATAATTAAATAACAGGAATCATTGATACACATCAAAGTAGCATAATGGACATTCGTTTATCACATAGTGACAAAATTGAATGCAGATCTTTTTTATGCTGTGCAACAGCGTATTTTCAATTGTTTTAAAATAGAAAAGGCTGGTTATAACATGGGTGATTAAAAACTACTTGTAAAACGATGATGTTTTG